GGGAGCAAAGATCTCATTGAAGTCCCGCTTCTCCTTCTGCATAAACCCCTTAGCCACCAACCTACTCTTGTAGATGGTGACCTGCCCCTTGTCGTCAGTCTTGATCCTTAGCACCCACTTGCATTGTACCGCTTTCTTTCCCTCAGGCAGCACCACTAGTTCCCAAGTCCCATTCTCCAGCAGGCTCTGGTATTCAGCATCCCTGGAAGCTAGCCATTTGTCCCTATCTGGTCCAGCTAATGCCTCCTCCATGCTAGCTGGTTCCTCTGGTGCAGGGGCAAGAAAACAGTACGCAGGTTGATCCTCCTCATCCGGGTCATAGCCATGCGGTAGAATCAGCAATGCCTCCTCGGTCCCAAGCTGCTGCTCCGCTACATCAGCTCCTGCAGTCAGCTTCTTAGTAGCCATACGGGTACGTCCTGGCCTGGAGACGGGTGTCTCCCATCCCTTCATAATAACACCCTTCGGCTTCTTAGTTTTCCCCTGCTGCTGCTCTCCTCCCTCGGATCCAGCAGCTCCACTAGTGCTACCGCTAATCTCCACACCATCACCTCCACCAGCAGGTGCCTCCTGCACCTTCTCTTTATCACCACCCTCTGCAGCTGCCTCCTCTCCCTCCTCCCACACACTAGGAGTCAGCTCCAGCTGCATGGTGATCTGCTCCATCTGCTGGGACACCCTGGCCTCCGGCTGTTTCTCCCAGCTCCCATACATCATGCCCTCAACAAACTTCACATCCCTGCTGTCAAACAACACACCCTTGGAAGGCTCCCACAGCAGCCATCCCTTGCTCTCAGCAGCCAGCCCCAAATGCACACACCAGATTGCACTCGCCCCCAACTTACTGCGGTAGGTCTTGGGGACGTGGGCGACTGCCATGCAACCGAACACCCTCAGCATGTCCACCGGCGGCTTCCTCCCAAGCCACCTCTCCAACGGCACCCACGAGTCATCCCCAACCTTTGTGAGTACCCTGTTCCTAGCGACGGTAGCGTGCCGAACAGCATGGGGCCACATGGAGTTGCCCAGCCCAGATTCTATGAGCAGCGCCCTAGCTGTCTCCAGAATTGTCCGGTTCGCCCGTTCTGCTACACCGTTGGACTGTGGGGTGTAAGCCGTGGTCAGCTCCCTCTGGATGCCCTGCTTCTTGAGCCAGGCCGTCATCTCAGCTCCAAGGAACTCACCACCCCGATCTGTCCTAATCCGCTTCACCACACACTCCGCTTGCTTCTCCACGAACGGCAGCCAATCGTCCCGAATCGTGGAGGCGGCGTGATCTTTCCGCTTCAGCGGATACGCCCACATTAGCCTGCTCCAGTCATCCACTATGGTTAGGAAGTACCGCTCCCCCTTGTGCCCTTGCACCGGCAGCGGCCCCACCAAGTCCATGTGGACCAGCTCCAACGGCTTTTTGCTCCTGCCAGCCACACTATGGAAGGGGAAACGGGTGAACTTTGAAAGGAGGCAAATTTCACAGTTATCATCGGGTGGTTGTCCGTTCAGCTTTAAGCCCTTAACGGCTCCATCCTTCTCCAGCTGCTTCAGCAAAGGCATTGCCACATGCCCCAAACGTCGGTGTGCAGTTGCCCAATCTGTCTCCCCAGATCTGGCCGACACTTTCACACCAACCCCTCCAACGGCGTTGCACTCCCCCTGGGATGCAGACCCCTCTCCAGCCTGCCCCCCACCGTGCCACGCCAGCGCCGGCAGCTGCCACATAGATCTGTACACGTCCTTGCTCTCGTGCAGATCCCAAAGCACCCGATTGCCCAGCTTCCCCTTATAAGTGCGAGCCCCATCCGTGTTGGTGTTCACCCCAGCCTTGCCAAGCTTACGGAGGGAGATGAGGTTGGCCTTCAGGTCGGGGACGAGGAGAACGTCGTGCAGCACCACCGGCTTGCCATCCGCTCCCTTAAATGCAGCTCGTCCCGCACCAGCCACCTTCAACATGTGTCCAGAGGCAGAGCACACCTCATTAATCGGTGCAGCGCGTACGTCGTCCAGCAGGTCCTTGCGCGGCGTCATTGTCCAAGCAGCGCCTGTCTCCAACACCCAATAGTCCAGGGGGTGCAGCTCTGCTCCAGCCTTAGCAGATGCGTCTCCTTGCTCCCCCTTGTCTCCCATATGGAAGAATTGGCCCGCGGTGCGCTCCTTCTTCTTCTCCGCACCGCCGTTGCCCTTCGGGTTGTTGTCGGACGAATCAGCGACCATGTTGGCGCCGTTTTTCTGGTTCCTCCGCGCGCCGCCATCCTGGTGACGATTCTGGGGGGTCCATCCATCGGGTTTCTTATAGCACAAAAACCAGGGGTGCCCTTCCTTCTCACAATACCAGCAACTCCCTTTCATTTTGCCACCAGCACCCGACTTGCCCCCACGTCCAGATTTCGCACCGCGACCCCAACCGGTACCTCCTTGTTGGTCGTTGGAGTCGTCGTCTTTCTTTGCACCGCGTCCAGCACCACCGAAGCCACGTCCTCTGCCACGTCGGCTCCCTTGCATCCCGTAGCCGCTGCTGCCGTCGTCTCCACCCCTCAGTTGGCGGCGACGGAAGTCCTCCTCCAGAATCTTCGTCCGCACCCACTCGAGCGTCCACAAGCTCTGGTTCTGCGGCAGGCTCAATCCGCTCGTAAATTGAAGCCACGATTCCGGCAGCAGCGAGAGCATCTTCAAGCACTTTGTTTGCTCCGGGTAGGTGATTCCCGCGGTCGCCAACTTCGCGTAGAGGTCGCGCAATTTGTCCAGGACAGGTTGCACCGGCTCTCCCTCGCTCAGGCGCAACGCGGACAGCTCCCTCTCCAGCATCAATGTTGCAACAACGGAGGTCGGGGCGTGCAGCTCCTTCAACACCGTCCACGCCTTCGGACCACACTCAGCCTCCGGCAGCAGGTGCATGACGTGGTGACGCTGGTTCAGCTCCAAACTCTGCGACATCAAGTAGTAGCCAGCCGAGGCGCGCTCGTCCCAGTCTTCCTGAAGGGCGGGGTCACTCGGTCTAGGCTCCTCCCCAATCATTAGTTTCAGCAATCCGATTTGACGGAAATAAAGTTGCATTTTCCAGGCCCAATCATCATAGCCCTCACCATTGAACTTCTCGACGGTGAAGTTTTTCAGCACCTCCTTGATCAGCGAGCCCTGGCTTGTTCGCGCTCCCCTTGGCGCAGAAACACCAGAATCATGGCTGCCGCTACGATCTTGGGCTGAAGATTCACCAGCTACCGCCGAGGTGTTGCCCGCCATAGCTACCTATATCGAGGATCACTATAACGCAGCTCTGATACCAGCTTGTTGGTGTAAGGGCCTAATAAACTCAAGCTATTAAGACTTTATCACACTTAAAACCTCTCCTCGGGGTCACCTCCAAGGGTCCTTGGGTGCCTGGTACAAGACCAGCCCCTATCCTCGGGTCCGAGTTTGTAGAGAGAGGGATCAAGAGGGACTTAGTCAAAACAGCAAGAGTACCTTGAGCGTCGCGCAGCGTATCGTGCAGACCGTCGACCGGATTAAGCTGAGAATTTCCTATATCGAAGCTCACTCTAAGAGCTTTAAAATAAGCCAAGTTGCCTCGCGAAAAGTTCTGCCATTACGAAGTTATGGCTCGGACAGCGTTAGCCTAGCGTTGGAGTGCTAGCGTACTAGCGTTGACTCGGGTAGCGTTCCGCCATCGCACCGCGTAGAAAAGAAATTCCAGCAAGGAAGGAATTCGCTTGAATCAATTTCACTATATTCAGGTACAAACAGAGAAGGAATAAATAGCTCTAGCTAGCAAGGACCTTGGGAATCAACCTGGGAACAACCAGGGATGATCCCAAATAATTCCAAGCAACAGAACCAACCTGGCTGAACAAAATAGCAGGTGATAGGTTGGTGAACAACCTCTGGTTCTGTTTTTCCAACCTGGGAAAACAACAACCAGGTTCAGGTCCTAAAAACAGAACCTGTTTTGTCTTTGCCCAACCAGCCAAATGCTGGTTCCGCTGGTTTCCCCTGGCCCTGTAGCATGCAGATACAGACAAACAACATCCAACCTTCACCTAAATTGTACCCCTATAGTACCTGCCCTGCTACACTATAGTCAACCAAACAAAACAGTACAATTTCGAGTTGGATAGAACTGAATCTGCGCAATCAAGTAAGTTGAACCGCAAAGCTTCCATCTTGGGTTCCTTTGCGAGCTCGTCCTTTCTGCTTCTACTGTTCATAGCGCGTACAATGTTATGCCGAAGCGCACATTTTGCGAGTACCTGCAAATGCTTCAAGCGAAAATTGCGAAAGCAAACAAACACACAAACATACCATTCACACGCAAATGCATTCGCACACGCATACTCGTACAAACAGACGGCAGGATGTCGTGCAATGTGAATTTGCACCCAACACTCCTCCCCCTCCACCTCCCCCTCCTCCTCCCCCTCCACCTCCCCCTCCTCCTCCCTCTCCACCTCCCCCTCCTCCTTCCTCTCCACCTCCCCCTCCTCCTCCCTCTCCACCTCGCCCTCAATCTCGCCCTCCTCTAGCTTGCTCGCATCAACAGCCCCACTTATCCCATTCATGTGCTCCTCGCTCTGCCCTCCTTCTTCACATGCCTCCCCCCCTTCCCCTCCCTCTCTCTGCGCATCACCCCCCTCCCGCACGCTCCCACCCTGTAGTTGCTCCTCCCTCGCCCCTTCCCTCCCGACCTTCCTCTCTCCCTCCCTCTCCCTCTCCCTCTCACTCTCCCTCTCCTTCTCCTTCTCCTTCTCCCTCTCCTTCTCCCTCTCCCTCTCCCTCTCCCTCTCCCTCTCCTTCTCCCTCTCCTTCTCCCTCTCCCTCTCCCTCTCCCTCCCCCTCTCCCTCTCCCTCTCCCGCTCTCCCTCCCGCGCCACGTCCGCCATCTCCTGCACGCCCCTCCCCTCAACACGTCTGCCCGACCGTGTTGCCATCCACTCGCCACCTGTGCCCTGCACTGCCTCACCTGCGCCCTGCACTGCCTCACCTGCGCCTTGCACTGCCTCACCTGCGCCCTACGCTGCCTCACCTGCGCCCTGCACTGCCTCACCTGCGCCCTGCTCTGCCTCGCCTGCGCCCTGCACTACCTCACCTGCGCCCTGCACTGCCTCACCTGCACTCTGCACTGCCTCAGCTGCGCCCTGCACTGCCTCGTCTGCGCCCTGCACTGCCTCACCTGCGCCCTGCACTGCCTCACCTGCGCCCTGCACTGCCTCACCTGCGCCTTGCACTGCCTCACCTGCGCCCTACGCTGCCTCACCTGCGCCCTGCACTGCCTCACCTGCGCCCTGCTCTGCCTCGCCTGCGCCCTGCACTACCTCACCTGCGCCCTGCACTGCCTCACCTGCACTCTGCACTGCCTCAGCTGCGCCCTGCGCTGCCTCGTCTGCGCCCTGCACTGCCTCACCTGCGCCCTGCACTGCCTCACCTGCGCCCTGCACTGCCTCACCTGCGCCCTACACTGCCTCACCTGCGCCCTGCACTGCCTGACCTGCGCCCTGCACTGCCGCACCTGCGCCCTGCGCTGCCTCACCTGCGCCCTGCACTGCCTCACCTGCGCCCTGCACTGCCTCATCTGCGCCCTGCACTGCCTCACCTACGCCCTTCGCTGCCTCGCCTGCACCCTGCATTGCCTCACCTGCGCCCTGCACTGCCTCACCTGCGCCCTGCACTGCCTCACCTGCGCCCTGCACTGCCTCACCTGCGCCCTGCACTGCCTCACCTGCGCCCTGCACTGCCTCACGTGCGCCTTGCACTGCCTCACCTGCGCCCTGCACTTCCTCACCTGCGCCCTGCACTACCTCACCTGACGCGCCGCCACCAACTCTGCCGTGCCTGCTACCCCCACTGCCACTTGCACCTCTGCCATCTCTTCCCTCCCCGCCGCCCGCATCCTTCATTGTGACTTCATCTCCTACTCCTCCTCCCTTTTCGAACCCTTCCTCCATTTCCTCCACACTTGGCTTCCCTCTTCCCTCCTCGCACTCTTCCACTCCTCCCTCTTCCCCTTCTTCCCCTGGTCTCTCTCCTCCACTCTCTCCTCTCTCCTCCCTCCGCTCCTCCCTCCCCACCTTCCTTCTCTATAGCCTTCACTTTCTCCTCTTTTCCGCCCGTCGCCCCTCCCTCCAGTCCCCTCTCCTCCTGCCCCACCCCTGCCAATCGCCCCACCTCCGCCCGCCGAGCCGCATCACCCCTCCCTTCAGCGCCTCCCGCACCGCCCTCTCCATTCTTCTTGCCGCCTGCGTCTATCTCATCAACTCCCTCCCCCCCTCCCTTCCCCTCGCTGCCGTCACTCCCTTCGCTACCTTCACTCCCCTCGCTGTCATCCACCACAACCACATCCTCCTCCCCTTCCCCCTCCCGATCCCCCTTCCCTTCCCCCTGCCCCTGTTTGTCCTCCTCCCCCTCCGTCGGCCCCGCCAAAGGCCACACGCCATCGGAGCTGCACGCCCCACCGCCCTGCTCTTGCGTCGTCCCGCCCTCCCCAACTACCTCCACCACATCGCTCTCCTCCCTCCCCTCCACCTCCATTTGCTCCACTCCCTCGCTCTCCACTTCCATCCTCTCAATTCCCTCCTCGCGTTGTTCTGCCTCCACCTCCTCCTCCATCTCCTCCATCTCCTCCTCCTCCATCTCATGCGCCTGCCCTACCCCCCCCCCCGGCTGCGCCTCCTGCTGCCCGGCATCGACTGCTGTCTTTGCCGCCAAGTCCTCCTCCCTCACCTCACTCACCTCCCTCACCCCCATATCACCAACATGCCCCCTTCCCTAGGATCAATCGGGGATCACTAGTGGACCTCTGACAAAAACGTGGTTTGGTTTGAGTTTGGAATGCCCAAAGGTTGGGAGAGGAGAAGTGCTACAGTGACAAGCAGCTTGGCCAGCACCAAACCCTAGGCTTGGTTTGGGAGCACCCCTACCCCTATGGTGGTACACCACCACATCCACCCTACCTTCCATGAAAAACGAATTCACTAAAACCTACAGCAAGGGAGAGTGTTGGAAATCCGAATACAATATGGCGAATATTGTATACTGTTATGCTGTTCGGTTTTAGTGTAGTCTCGTTTATAAGCCTCCAGGTCCTACTATAATTGTCACAATTATTGTAAATAATTGTCACAATTATTGTAGGGCCGGAACTATTGGAGTTCAGCATTATTGGAGGGTAGAGGGTTAAATTATTGATACACCATTATTGGTGCGAATGGGCCATTTTGGGAGGGATAGATGGATGCATAAATACCATGCTCTATCACTTGTCCAACATCATTCCGTTTTTCAATGATCGATGCAAGATTTCTATCTTGTTCTTTTCTACAAATACGTTTCCGCTAGGCTGGCACTGTGCCTTTCTAGCATGAATGACTACAGCGAGGCCAGACAATTGGATATGTATAGAGCATCGTATTCTCCCGGACAAATCATCCGCCGAAATTGTACACCCCTCGAGTAGCTTGTGCGGGATGGGTGCTATAGGCGACCTCGTTTGTACTATACCCCCCTTTCTGGGTGATTTTTTATAGCACCCCGCTTTCCTTACAGATTCCTTATTAATTGTTAACTAGTGCCGGTGCAAGTAAGGGAGGATATCGCGAAAATCTCTCCCTCGATGAAATTTCGCGGTTTTTTCACTTAGAATTCGTCGAGATTTCCCCCCTTCCACTATTTCGTTGTCGACACGCGCTGTTGAATTGGATCTTCTGTTGCAAGCAGGGCCTCAGATTCGTTTTTTGCCTGTTTGATTTATCAGACTTGTCTACAGTTTTTGTCTGAAACTGTCAGAGTTGGTTTTCCTAAAACTCTTAAATTTCAGAGTCACAATTAAAAAAAAAGTCTGAAACGTTCAGACTCAACCCCATTGAGAGTCTGATGTGTTTGTGATTGGCATTCATTAAACTACATTATAATGACATTAGATTAGACTAGGTGCTCTACATCCTTCCTACCTACCTACCTACCTAGGTAAGTTATCCACCCCACTGATCAAATCCATCATCATCATCACTATCAGATGCATCATTATCCTCTATGTCTTCTACTTCCATCACCTCGTCTACCAGCTTGGCCCTGTTCTGCTGCTTTCCTGCAGGCTGTAGTGGAGCGTTGCTGTGGGGCTTGCGCTGTCAGAACATATAGCTTACTTGTTTGTGTAGGCTATAGTGGGGTATCCCATAGGGGGTACAACCCAATTAGGGTTTGCTATATGTACTCACTTGATTCATAGTGATTTCATTCTCGTTCTCTATTTCACATGGAATCAGAGCAGGTCCCCTCGTAGGGATTGTTCCTTGGGCCCACCGAAGCGCGCCCCGAGGCGCGCGTTTTTTTTTAGCGGCCCTGCCGCCCTACCCTACGTCGCGGCCCCGCCGCCCTACCCTTCGTGGCCCCGCCGCCCTACTTCGACGGCCCCGCCGCCCTAAGTCGCGGCCCCGCCGCCCTACCCTACGTCGCGGCCCCGCCGCCCTACCCTTCGCGGCCCCGCCGCCCTACCCTTCGCGGCCCCGCCGCCCTACTTCGACGGCCCCGCCGCCCAAAGTCGCGGCCTCCCCGCCCTACCCAACGTCGCGGCCCCGCCGACCTACCCTTCGCGGCCCCGCCGCTCTACTTCGACGGCCCCGCCGCCCTACCCTTCGCGGCCCTGCCGCCCTACTTCGACGGCCGCGCCGACCTACCCTACGCGGCCCTGCCGCCCTACTTCGACGGCCCCGCCGCCCTACCCTTCGCGGCCCTGCCGCCCTACCCTTCGCGGCCCCGCCGCCCTACCCTTAACGGCCCCGCCGCCCTACTTCGACGGCCCCGCCGCCCCACCCTTCGCGGCCTCGCCGCCCTTCATCGACGACCCCGCCGCCCTACCCTTCCGGCCCCGCCGCCCTACCCTTCGTCGGCCCTGCCACCCTGCACCAGAGCCGCCCGACCGCCCAGCCGCTGACTGCCGAGCCGCCGAGCCGCCCAGCAGCCGAGCCGCCGAGCCGCCCAGCAGCCGAGCCGCCGTGCAGCCCAGCAGCCGAGCCGCCGAGCCGCCCAGCAGTCGAGCAGACGAGCCGCCGAGCCGCCCAGCAGCCGAGCCGCCCAGCAACCGAGCCGCCCAGCAGCCGAGCCGCCCAGCAGCCGAGCCGCCAGCCGCTGAGCTGCCCTGCCTCCAGACCGCCCGTTCTGCCCAGTCTGGTGAGCACAGAGCCTTCTTTTTCACTGCACAGCCCTCACCCTACTGCTTGCACTACTAGGCGTCTGCCGTCATGGCTACCCCCAGTGTCCTCACTTTTGACACTGAGGGCCGGGCCATTGACTTTGAGGTCTGGGTAGACGATCTGCAGCTGTTCTTATAGTGCGATAGGGCAGACGGCCTCTCTCTCTTTGACCTTACCTCTGGCGCTTCCCCTACCCCTGCTGCTGATGCAGACCCTACCGTTCGCTCCCAGTGGGCTACGCGCTATGCTGCTGCACGTCTTGCTGTGCGTCGCCACCTCCCTACCTCTGAGCGTGCGCACTTTAGTCAGTACAAGAGTGCTCAGACCTTGTACGACGCTGTAGTTGCGCGCTACTCCTCCCCTGCCACTGCTGCACTGAGCCGCCTCATGCTACCCTTCCTCTTCCATGACCTTGCCGCCTTTCCCACAGTCGCTGATCTCATTACGCACCTCCGCACTAGTGACACCCGCTACTGCGCTGCGCTTCCTGCTGACTTCTGCGCCAAGAACCCCCCCCCCCCATGTACATCACTCTCTACTTCCTAGTCACCCGCCACCCCGACTCCCTTCGTATAGTCCGGGACCACTTCCTTGCGGTCTGTCCCACCACTCTCACAGTCGACAGCCTAGAGAAGGCCCTCCTAGCGGCGGAGAAGAGCATCGTCGCTGTAGGTGCCTCTCGAGATGACCCCCGCGCCCCCATCTTTGAGGGGTGTTCCCCTTCCCCTCTCTTGCCTTCTGTCGCCTCTGCCGCTGCGGCCGACCTCGTTGGTCTTGAGCCGGTCGGTGCGGCGTCTGCCCCTAGCGGGAGACGTCGCCCTGGCAAGGGCAAGGGGGGCAAGGGAGCGGGTGGGGCTAGCGGGGGCGGTGGCGGTGGAGGTGGAGGCGGCGGAGGGAGTGGGGGTGGCGGTGGAGGAGGTGGTGGGGGTGGGGGTGCTAGTGGCAGCAGTGGTGGCGGAGGCGGCGTCAGCGGCAGCGGTACTAGTGGGGGTGGCAGCGGTGGCGGAGGTGGAGGATGTGGAGGAGGAGGTGGTGGAGGTGGTCGGAGTGGCACTTCACAGCGGAGCGGCACTGGGGGTGGTCAACGCCAGCAGCAGCGTTCTCGCGATGTCCCCACCCCTCTGCAGCTCCGTGAGTGGTACACGCAGCGTTAGCGTGGTGGGAGTCTTGGTCCCTGCACCTACGTCCTTCGCGGCGGCGACCGCGCGGGTGAGCAGTGTGGGGGTGCCCACCCCACCCATCGCTGTTTTGGACGTCTGACGGACGCTTGGCGTCAGCAGTTTCCGGAGGCCACGGAGATCCCCCACTGGGAAGAGCTGTCTAGGGCTGGCGTAGCCATCTTTGATCTTGACTTTGATGCTATCCTTGCTGCCATGTATGCTGTGACTATTAGTGATGAGGGTGACTGTTACCGGTGCTTTCCGCCCGACCCGGGCATTGAGACTGCTGCTCCAGGTACTGGTGAGGCTGCTGCCCTAGGTGCTTGCGACGCTGCTGCTCTGGGTGCTAGTGCGTCTGCGTCCCCAGGTACTGGTGAGTCTGCGCTCTCAGGTACTACGTCGGCTTCGGCCTCTCACACCTTCACCCTTTACTCTGGGGCGTCTCGCTCCTTCTTTCGGGATCGCACTACACTCACGCCGCTTAGTCGGCCGGTTGCGGTCTCCCTGGCTGACCCCTCAGGGGGTCCTGTCCTGTCTTGCTTCTCCACTGTTCTCCCGTGTCCGGCGGCTCCCTCTGGCACCCTGTCTGGTCTCTACCTCCCCTCGTTCTCTACAAACTTGGTGAGTGGTGCTGACCTACAGGATGCGGGAGTCCACCAGTTCACCCCTGCTCGTCAGCGGGTGACGCACTGCACAGAGGCCAGCACAGGTCGACACCTGGCTACGTTTACCCGTCAGCCAGGGTCGAGCCTGTACACACTGACCACTGCTTCCCCCCCAGTTACTGAGTCTGGTAGGGTCCCTGCGTCTGGTCAGGTGTTTGCTACAGCGTCCAGGTCTGGTCCTGAGTCTGCCCCCTGTTCCTGTCGTCTCCTGTCTCACGAGACTCTTCTCTGGCACCACCGCCTTGGTCACCCCTCTCTGCTTCGGCTCAGAGGCATGGCCTCCCGTCTTCTTGTGTCTGGTCTCCCTCGGTCCCTCCCTCCCCTTCCTCAGGGCCCTGGCCCTTCCTGTGTCCCATGTGTCGAGGGGCGCCAGCGTGCTGCCCCTCACTCCTCCCAGTTTCCTCCGACTGAGGCCCCGTTGCAGACGCTTCACATGGACGTGTGGGGCCCCGCCCGCGTCCGTGGACAGGGTCACGAGCGCTACTTCCTGCTTGTTGTTGACGACTACTCGCGTTACACCGCAGTCTTCCCCTTGCGCAGCAAGGGTGATGTCACTGAGGTGCTGATCGACTGGATCCGCGCAGCTCGTCTCCAGCTCAGGCAGAGCTTTGGCTCCGACATTCCTGTTCTGCGTCTGCACTCGGACAGAGGCGGAGAGTTCTCCTCTGGCCTTCTGCGAGCCTACTGTCGTGCGCGAGGCATCCGTCAGACCTTTACGCTTCCGGAGTCAC